CAGCGACTGTGAACTTTCTTTTGGTACCTTTTGGTCCCTTGCACTGCACCACATTTCCTCCCACACCATCTTCTTAATTTTGGCTTTTGTTTTATCTCCAACTCCCAAATTATGGGTTCAAGAGCAAAGGCATATAAGCCCGTGATGTTACTGTCAAGACCCACACAGGAGTGCAGGGGCCAGATGAGTTGTGGTGGCAATGATCTGTCCCGGGGGACTTGGGCTGGGCTGGGCTGGCTGTGGGAGCCTGCCTGGATCCCCCAGGCCTGCTGGCAGGCAGCAACCCTGCCTAGTGCTGGAGTGTGTGGAACTGTGTTGGGAGGAGGGTGGATGTGTCAGAAAGTTGTATCTGGGGGTCTGTGCGAGAGAGAAAGACATACTGGTGTGTGTCTATAGGTGAGGATGTGCTTGTGTGTGCATGTGTTTACTGTTTATCTTTTTCAGTGTGAACACATATATATGTTGGGAGAGAAGGGGAGTGAAGTCTGCGCAGAGATTAAAGAAAATCAATTAAATTCTGGTTTATTTTGAAATCTACAGTTCTGATGGGGATTGAGGTGGAGCTTTTGTGTTTCACACTAAAATAATAATTGTATTTTAGTTATGCAGTGTTAAACCATTTGTTTTGAACCTCCACTAAGCCACTAAGGTAGTTCTGCAGACCACTTTAGAGCATGGGATAAAGGATGTCATGTCCCGTTTTTCTCTATGCATAAGCATGGCTTAGGTAAGAACTCTCCTGACTCCTTGGGCAGAATTTCAACTCTGTTTCACTCTTTGGTGGTAGCAAGCAAAACTGCAAACAGATCCGTGGCCTTTCTAGAGATTTCCAGGTCCATTCCTGCAAGCTTCCCTGGGCCTCAGCTCAGGAAAATATGTGTTGTGGGATGAACTCTTACATGAAACACTGGAAGGACCCAGAGCTCTCCAGCATTTTGTCACCTCTGCAGAAAGCTACAGCACTGGTAAAGCAGCTGTCTAGATTACAGGTATGGCTGTGAACACAGAGCTAAATAAATGACAAACTCCTGGTAGGAAGAAATGAGGAATAAATTGGTCTGTGATGGTCATTGTAGTCGTGGTTGATCACAGCTGTAAAGGATGGCCCCATCTTGATTCCAGCCCTTCTGCAGGCACCCATTAACTGTTGAGACACTCACAGGAAGGGACAAGCAGTATCTGCCTTATCCAGCCTGAAACATCACAGCTTTTGAGGGGAGTAGGTCAAAAGGTTGATTCTTTCCTTGATTTCTAGAAAGAAATGAATGAATGAATGAATGAATGAATGAATGAATGAAAGGCCCAATTTTGTCTGCCCATTTATAAGTCAGTGCAGAAGTTTAAGAACTAATGTGCTCAAGATCTGGTGGTTGCAACTACAATGCTGCCCCTCATCAATGTGTTAAACAGATTGTGCATACACACAAATTATAGTTGGATTACAATAAGGCTGTTCTGTATTCCCCATACAGCAAGCACATACACATGTAATTTAGGTCACAAAGGCTGTTTACTGTGGTAAAACTCTCACTGCTGCTGATTCCTTGGAATATTGAGCAATATGTTACATCCAAGCATGCCTAGAGACAGCCTTGCCTGCATGTTTTGGATGCTGAAGTCTTCAGTCGGGTGTTTTCTGAGAGGTTTTATCTTTAAGTGGCAAAGACCACTGAAATCAATTGAAGTTTCCCTACTAGTTTCCACAGCTAGGTATTTTAATTTCTGTGGATTCTAGGTGAAACCTGGTCAGGACCATACCCCTTCAAAAGGGATGAGAGACCACCAAGCAGCTTTGCCCACTGGCGTTTATGCTGTAATTTGCTCTGCGTAGAAAGCACACGGGGAAACAGGCTGGCAACTCTCACTGTGCCCTGGTACAAATTTCTGTTCAGCAACAGCAAACAGACAGAACGAATATAAAAAGGTTATGAGAGCAGGACCCGTTTCTCGTCTTCTTTCACCTCTTTTTTTCCTCACTATCACCGCGGCAGCTCATAGAACCAAGGAAAAGCTGACGAGCATCTGCCGTCATTGCCTCCCTACCTGGGCCGGACGTGGGTGGGCGCGGTGGGCTCGGCTCCGCGGGCCGGGCAGGG